GTCAAACATCGTGGCCCCGGCCGACGGGTTTACTCTCTGGCTACGCCTATGCCAGGTAGAGTCGAACGTGCATACATAATTAGGCTGCATCTTTCCGCTACTGCGTCTGCATTAGTCGAGTGCTACAGTTGTTATTAATAGGGTTGAAACGCGTCGAAATGGCCAGCTTTCAAATCGTTATTGTTATCCTCTGCCACCTCCTCTTTCTCTCTCTCTCTCTCTTTCTCTTTCACTCCTTCTCGATATTCGAATAATCGTGGACTCATGATTTTGATTAATTTTCTTGGTCCAGAATATGGAAAGTTATTAGCTTGGAAATACATTTGGGAATATAATATTAATATAAATTTTTTATAAATTTAATCGTCCAAAGTAGTAAGTAGTAAAATCATCGATGGTTGGTATTAAGTAGCGTAGCTACTTAATACTGGATTTTGATGTAGGGGTGACCAGATTTGGACGTGGAGGTATACTGCTTCCCCCGTAGAAGTGGTACTATTCGGTTTGGCGATTCGTTTGCGGTGGAAAGTGAAGGATAAACGCGAAGGGGGCGATGTGGTTTCGGTCGAATCATTTTGGTGGGAGATCGGTTTCTATTTGGGGGGTGGGCTGGCTGGATTTTGTGTTTTGTGGTAATTCGAATAGGGATGGAGGGATCTAATTAGTGTAATTGGTGGATACTGGTGGAGACCAGCGATACAGGGAGTTAGTTATACAATTACACGTGGTATGGGCAGCGATTATGCTGATAAATGTGCCCTTGAAAATTTATCAAGCCATTAATTTTATTCGAATGTAAGATTATAATTATCATTAAAAATGAGTAATCATCAAGTTTGGTAAAGTTAGTTTGTCGATCGTGTGTAATATTCCGATCCTCATGTTTGTTTCATTTGCTTTGTTTCAGTCGCTGGAAGGTCAAAACATATATAATTCCTGTTGCACGTTGCGCATCGACTACAGCAAGATGCAGAACTTGAACGTGAAGTACAACAACGACAAGTCGAGGGACTATACCAACCCGTCTTTGCCAACTGGAGACGCGAATTTGGACGCGGCATCTCTTGCCTTGGGCGGCGAACTTCTTCCACAGTTGTTGATGGGCGCTGGATCGCAGCCTCGCGCAAGAATACCCGGTGAGAACCGTGGATTTCCACGATTTTTTTTTTTTTATTAATACGATTGAAAAAGAAATTAATNGAAAAAAAAGAAACGGAATTTTGAAATTATTTGAAATTAAATTATTCGAAATTAAATTGTTGAACGTTATTGTTATTATTTTGAACAGTGTAATTTCGATTCTTAAATTTTATAACGTTTTTGTAATTTTCGTGAATATGGAATTGTCTTTCTGAATTTAAATTATATTTATAGTTTATTTATTCAAGAGGTAAAACTAGTAGTTATATGAATTATTAATAAAATAGTTTACAATTTGCAACTATAATAATTATTTCATCTCTTGAAACAGGATGTTGGAAACTATTCTAAATTCTTAATGAATTTTATGTATTTTGAATAATAAAAAATCTAAAGAGATGAGAATATCAAAAATTCAATACAGTTTTACTCTCAAATTCAAGAGTATGAAAATATAATTGAATAATGTTATTTATTTATTTTAAAAATCTCTATTTATTATTATAATTAAAAAAAGAAATTATAAGATAGTTGAATATAATTAACACAAATAAATAATAAATTTCAAATATAAAAATTTTATTCTACATTTTGTTGCTTCTGTTTCTGCGAAATAATAAGAATAAATTCGTTTCGTTAATTGTTTCACACTTTGCAATCTAAGAATATGTTTCCATTTTCAATTTTTCGTAAAATTATTGTCGCGACATTGATTGTCAATGATGAACCTATAAAAATCAGATCGATCAATTAGTCCCGTGTTACTAGAACAGTTCAGTCCATTAGAATTAATTATATTAATAGAATAGACGGTCTCCCTGTCACTCGATAGGCTGATAGGTTTATGATAAATTGTCGTATCGTGAGTCAGTTGCTGTATCGGATTCGTTTCCAATTTACCCCTCGTTTTCAGCTTCATTTTCGCGCGATATCGAATTGCACGCGGTTAGACTATATATTTTCCCTGGCAAATTAATTAATTACGTTTCAACGCCAGAGGCGATCGATCCAGGCCGACGTTTCGATTTTATCCATCTTCGATCTCCGCTTTTCGTTTCTATATTTTATGTATCCTTTTCTTCCTCGCTTTTTTATTAATAATTTCATGGAATTTTAAAAATTTTTTTAAAAATTTGTGAACTAATAGTCTTGAGTTATTCTTAATTATATATTATATAGTGTATCATGATATCCTTTGATTTTTTATGGAATAGAGTAAAATTATTTTAATCGAAGAATTTTTTATACCGAATCTTAACTAAAGATATAACAAAATATATCAGAATTAAGAAAAGAATTGATTTAGAAAATAAATTTCATATAGCATTTTGTTAATAGAAATTACAAAAATCTTAAGATATCAATGTCTACATCCTTAAAAGAAAAAGAAAAAAAAAAAAAACAAAAAATCTTACAAAGTTTATTTCTTTTTAACTTTTTGATATATAGTCCCTTTAATTCCCCATAATCTTAGAATTTTCCCATTTCCATTTAAAGAAAAAATAGAATTCTAGCATTATGCTTTTTTTAAAAACATTTTTCGCGATTATTCAAAAATCAATTATCTTATTCATCTCTTTCCAACTTCTTGCGATTATAATTCACCTAATTCCGTGTATAGAGATCCCTAGAATTCCCTCATTACGCAAGTTTTATTTCCTCCACTATCAAAATCTTTTAACAGATTTTGCTTTCTTTTTTTCAATTTTTTTCTGCTAACTACAGTTCCAATTCTCCGCAATTGTTCTCTCACCATTCCCCACTATCGAAATCCTAGAGTTCCCCGCATTATCCAAAATCCCCCAGAAATCCCCCAAAATTTTATTAAAATTTACTTCTCTTCAACTTTCCTTGCGATTAATAATGCCGCATTCGATTCTGCCTCGCTCGAGATCCCTGGAATACTTCCACTATTCAAATCCTAGAGTTCTCCCCTCTCCCTCAACCTCCATAATTCCCCCATCACCCAAGTCTAATTAGAGAAACAATGCTAACTATAGCTTGTAAATTTTCTGAAGTAGAGTCCATTGCAGGGGCACCGGGTGTGCTGCCCACGCCCTTTGCGGCCATGCACGGTCTACCCTCGCCCTTAGCAGGCCCGTACAACGGGGTTCCACCTGCCGGCGGATTGGCTGGCCTCGGTGGGTTCCCTTTGGGTGCAGCTGGCCTTGGGGTGCGCGTCCCCACTAATGCGCAAACCTCCGCTGTCCTGCTCGTCAGTAATCTCAACGAAGAGGTGAGTGATTTTGAATGGCGTTTAATGAAATTGTTATGCGATGTGGTCGAGGACATGGAGATCCAAAATGGAGGCACAAAGAAAAATTTTAAATCTCGATTTTTTCCTTTTTTTTTTCTTTTGTGATCGCTGTTATTCTGAATTATTTGTTTATTTGTTATCACTCGAATTAAAAGGGAATAATAATAATAAAAAAATTGATTTAAATTGTTTTAAATAAAATCGTGTATGTTCTTTTTCAATTTTTATATAATGTAAAGAAAAATTATCAGTGATGTTATTACGTAACTTAAAAAGAAATGTTTTACGTATCTCTTTATTTATTTTATCCGGAAATAAAATTATCATATCAAATTTTTCTTCGTGCCTTGCCAAAGAAATAAACCGCTAAAGTGTACAGAACGTTACCAAGCGTAACGTTTTAAGTAAAAATCAGCATTAATGAGATATGCAAATTATGATCAACGTGCTGTACGCTTTCGATTAGGATAATTTTAAATTAACGCTGAGAGAAATAAAGCTGTAAAGATTTTAACATTATTAAAAATATTTTTTTTATCTTACAATTATTTTTAATATTCTGAATAAAGCATGAAGCGATATTATATATATATATATTTTTTCACTTTCACCAAATCAGAAGAAACAATTTTTTAAATATTACATCGAACTGTATATTCTCGTTATAATTTTTATTTCTCTCAACGTCTACCTATGTACACGAAACTGGCTTAGGTACGTACGTATCCACTAAAAATTCATCTAAATACAACGATATGATATTATAATGTAGTGCTACGTAGGCAACCCTAGCAGTTTCTCCATCCCTCGATCCGAATTTTCCTTGTCGAACGTTTTTCTCAATCTATCTCCAAATACAATGAAAATACTTATCGATTAATTTTCTTATCTTTTTTTTTTCATTCCTTTTTTTTTTTTTTTTTTTTTTTTCCCCTTTTTT